AGAGAGAGAGAGAGAGAGAGAGAGAGAGAGAGAGAGAGAGAGAGAGTCTGCCGATATTAACTTTTTTATATAATTATGTGACATGTAGCATGAAAATGTTTTCGCTCGCGTTAAATTATCTTCTCCTTACTAAATTTTAAGTTCTTCGCAAAAATTGCTTCTAATGTTGTCGAAGTTACGGATAAATGCTTAATGGATTATTTCATTATTTCAGTTGTGGTGCGAGTCTTATACTGCTAAATCACTGAAGTGGATGCTGGAAGATTCTCATTGTCCCGGTCACGTGAGACTTCAAGCTGTACTAAAAAATTCCAAAGAATTTAGCACCGTGTGGAATTGTCCCGCTGGATCGAACATGAATCCGTCGAAAAAATGTCATGTGTGGTAGCAGCTGCGTCTTCGATAAAAAACAATGTTTGTTATTTAATATTGTTGATTAATCAAATGTTTCTTATTTCGTGATATGGAGCTCAAAACAATAATAATCCAGCGTTAAATTAAAACAAAATTAATTTTTTATCTCGTGAGATTCATGACAAGTTACAATAATGCAAGAGCAATATTTAACAGATAAGAATTCTTTTTCTCTATTTCAAATTTAAATCAGTGAAAATTGATATAGACTTACGAAGTTTTGTGCATGAGTTGCAGTCGCTTTAATTATTGTTATCCATTCGTTATATATAGCATGTGACGATTTGTTTCTATATAATTTTTGTAAGATTTTTCGCACTGATACGCTGGGGACACCCCATTATCATCGAGAAATCAAAGAATGGTCCAATAATGTTTGTAATAAAAGAGCTTTATTTACATACAAAATATATATTCTCTAATTCCTATAATCCTTTTGACATCTTTCCAATTTTTAGATGTCTAAAGGACGTCTTTGATCTTGTTATTCCAATCTTGTTATTCTGTTATTCCAATATAGGATATCATATACGATCTGAAATTACACTAGTATGCTATACATATTTTAAGTTATTAAAGTAATTTCGCTCTTGCTGTCTTACATCGCAATATTTACTCATACCTGTTCCCAATAATAATAAATTGATAACGAAGTTTTGTTATTTTTTTTTTTTTTTATTAGTAAATTAGTGTATTAGAAGCGTCACGTAGAAAATTGCTTATAAGAAAATAAATTCGGAAAGTAAATTGAAATTAGATGAAACAAAACAAAGAGAAAACATAAAACTCAAATTTTATTAAGTTCATTTATTTAAATATTAATTAAAATTATTAACTTATATTTAATTTTTAAATGCGTGGTTTCTCAATAAAAGTTTGTAAAGATCAAACAACAGAAATATGATTTTGATAAATTTAAACGAAGTACTATCAAAAGATAGCTTAAAATTCCTCAAAAAAATTATCCAGAACATCGATAGAGTATCTTAAAGATCGATTGCGTCTTGTGAAAGTTTACGTATTTATCTTCATTATTATCATCACTATATTCAATCATCTATGCGAATGATAAGCATGAAAAAAAATTATCGAATGTCGCAAGGTTTATTCTCGTGCTCGAAAAAAAGTGATTTTTTTGTTAAACAGTGTAATCAATCCAATAATATTTATTTTCTTCAATTACTTTCAGATCTACCAAAACCACTTGATAAACATGAAAATTTATCGAGGGATGGCCTTCTCTAATAGTACCTCGATAGTGCCTAGAAGAAGGAAATACCATCCAAATAACTTCGATTTAATCGAAGATGTGAGTGTTATTAGGAAAGTAACTAGCGCAAGTTTTCAAACATTTTTCTCTTATATATTCAAAAGTTAAATATTAATAATAATAAACTGTTACAAAGGAAAAAAAGCACGAACGATTTCGATTCGACACTTCAGGAATAAGTCGTCGAGTAGTTCTTCGGCGCAATATGTATTTCCACTAAAAAAAAGTTTCAGTAGCTTATTCAACGTCCATTACAAGATATACATCTTACAATTAGTACACGTAGCCACCATTGGCATCAATGGGTTGCACATATTCTTGCTTGCTGCTGGCGGAGGTGATGGTACATCCGGCGCACGCAGTGGAGGGCCCCTTATACCCTTGTTGTGTCTTGATGTGCACGGGCTTGGAAATCGTTTCGCTCTTCAGCACCGCATTGTCGATCGTAACCGAGTCGCTGTTGCTCAAAGAGTGTACGTTAGCCTGATAACCCGTATTTTTACCCGGGGTCGACGGTACAAATGCTGCACCGGGTACGGAGGGTACATTGGGTACAGAGGGTACAGAGGGTATAGAGGGTATAGAGGGTACATCGGGGAAGGATGGGAAGGACGGGAAGGACGGTAGAGAAGGGAAGTTTATCGATGATGCGAAGTTTTGGAACGGATTCTGATAGTCGGCGAAAGGATTTGAGAAAGTCGGTATGCCTGACAGCACGTTTTGGAACGTTGCCTGGGGGTTCTCGAAGAAGGTTTGCAACGGATTGTCTTTGGTATCCACCGTCAAGTGATGATGAGCAACCGGAACGCTGGTTCTTACGTAATGGTGTACGGGGTACGGCACCGGACGAGGTACTTCCACGGGGTATGCACGATCCACGGTGACCTGCACAGGCTGGGGCACGCGGACGTAGTAGGGCTTGGGAACTTCGACGGTGTGCGGAATGGGAATGCGGACGGCGACGTGCTTGGTCACTGGTACATGATATGGTTGGGGTACTCCGACGTGCACATGACGATCCAGGGTTTTCACAGGTATACTGCTGTATGAGGGTATGCTGTAGTCCAACTTGGAGAGGTTGTTGATAGCAGAAGTGAAGGAAGGTATGTTGTGCTGAATCGCACCTGAAACAGAAAAAAATATTTCTTACTAATATTCTTAGAGCATTTATTTAATTTATTTTTTACATGCAAAATTTTATAGTTATAAAATTTTAGAGTTATACAATTTTTTTTTTTTCCAAGAGCATATAATATTAAAAAAAATGAACTGCCAATAATTCTTTCCCGAAAATTTAAAAAATGTGAATCTACAAATTTATCAAATTAATTACGAATAAATAGTAATCAACAAAATGATTAAATTGCCAAATAAATTACCGATTAAATATATTAAATTATTTTTTAAACCTTTTACTTTGATTTTCTAACATTGCGTAAATTTATGACTTACATTGGACATGATATAGCATTTTTAAGAACAGATTGTAAAGAAATACACAGATTTCTTTTTGATTGAAAGTAAAATGATCAAACACCATGTAATTGGAGAAACTATCTCCGATTGTATAACATAATAAATATTCATATGCCAAGCATACATTTGCATTCATCTTCGATGAAAGCCGAGCATATCACTCAGACACGGTGACAAGTGACAAATGTTTTCATATGTCATCGCGACATTAGTCAAGCATTAGAATATTTCCATACGTGACTCTTGCGACCGGCCTCGAACGGCAGAAGCTTTGACTCGCTACTTATATATGGAAATTGTCGAATATCTTACGTAACTCGGCGCAAACGATATTCATGCCTGTTTTTACAAGTCTAATGTAGATTTAGGAGAGAAGCCGTAAATTCTCGACGGGCGCGGCGCGACCGAAGGAGGTCGTAAATTCCCGGTAGATGGACGCTCACCTTGGGAATCAGTGGGCAGATGAGACGCCGTCACCTTCACCTGCGGAAGGGAGACGGTATGCGGAATATTTTCCACGTGCTTTTGAACAACCGCCGGTTGCTGGACGTGGTGGGCTTCATCGTGACCCTCGGGAATCGCGGACTTCTGCACATGCACAGTGTCGAATTTCGGCTGCTCCTGGATGGTCGTCTACGGGAAATTCGATATTTACGCGCGCGTTAAAACATTGTATGACAAAAATATAGATTTTATTAATATATATATTAATAGATTATAAGTCCAGTGAAAGGATGTGGGTAAAATGCGAATTTTGCTACAATGTCAAAAAGCTACAGTTCAGTATAGGATTAAAAAGATATTCGAGATTAGAGTGACAAGAATGAATAAGCAAGATAGAAACAAATGTACGATAGACGCATAGCTAATTAACACATATCAATTGTCGCACCTTCACCGCGGGAGTTCTGTACGAAGTTTGTGGGACATTAACAAGTTCCTCGTGTTGAAAATAGAAAGTAGCAGTCCGTAAACGTAAGTAGCACTAATAAGTGCTTTAAATTCAGTAGTACTGTGAATTACTTTTAATTATTTTATTTTTGTCACCCTAACCGACCAACTTTAAGCTATCCAAAATAACGTTGTCGTTGAATGCCTACCTTAACGTTATAGAAAGTGACTGGCGCTTGGATAGATGGTACTCGATAATCACCATTCAAGTCGAGCGCTGTCTTTAATTAATAAAAAAATATTTAAACTTTTAATTAAAATAAATCCCAATTTAAAACAAGTTGTAATAATTAATCAATACTATATATTCTTTGAAAAGAATAATATATAAATTAAAATATTAATTAAAAATTGTTATTTTTTAAAGACTTAATTACATAAGTTTATAACTAATAATATAAGTTAATACTTTAATAAATTGTTATTCTTAAATAATAATAAAGATATATATATTCTCTATTTTATATATATTGCTTGTAATTTCTAAGAACGCGGAGAAAGATTTTAACGATCATTCGTTTATTGGCCTATCGTTCATAATATCTTCAGACTGCTAAAACACGTTATACTGTCAGAAATAATTGATTACATTTTAACAAACAACCCAGTAAGCAAGATGAATCACCGAGATGTATTGATTATTTTGCAAAGTATTAATTGAAAGGGAAAAAGCGCAGGATTCTGCGAGTTAATTTACAAAATTGTGTGAAGTTACATGATTATAGAGAGACAATATGATCGATGCATGTACCTTGATAATGGCAGAATTTTTGTCATCATTGGCGGGTATAAGATAGTTGTTGTTAAAAATCTATAACAAAAAAGAAAATCCTAATTAGTAGACCGATTTTTAATTAAATCATAAATTTTCACGTATACTGTACTTGTATTAATAAATTATAATGGCTTTACTGTAAAGAATGAATAATTTTACAATTTTCGCTCTTGTAGCAAAATTGCATTTAAGGCAAATCCAATATGACTGTACTATTCGACGAGTTTTTTAATCACCTGATTGTTATCGGGTATCCCGTAGGAGGTAGATGGTACGAGGAGGGGGGCTTGTGTTTGGTCAGTATCACCGGATGCTAAGAAATCACTTCCCAAAGGCTTGCCGGGCGTATGGGTGGGCGGTCCATAGGACGATTGGGGTTGTACCTGGAATAGCGAGTGGTCCTCTGTGTCGTCTGGAAGCGTATAAGAACCTACGTAGCCGCCAGCGGATTTCGAGATCTGTACCTCATTCTCGTGCTCGTGATGCTCATGCTCCTGATGATGATGCTCCTCGGTTCCGTAGCGTGGATCGCCCGGCAGGATGTCCCTCTTTTGCTTAGGGTTCTCTTCAGCCGGCGCTGCTAGAACCACACCGATGCAGACCTGAAAAAGTAACATTTGGTATATATAAGTAAAACAGAATAAAAAAAAATTATAGTTTTGAAAATATAATAAGATATAATTTTGTCTTCGTGTTGCGCATATCTAATATATCAATAAAATGGAATATGAAATATTTTTAGACATTTACTAGTATCTTATATTACTTTACTTTATTAATTTATAAATTTATATTACTTGTAGACAAGCTGAATTGGGTCCTTTTTATTTATCGTTTTGTAATTTGTTATGCAATTTTAAACCGGTCCCGGCAATTAAATTTAAATATTATGAAATTGATACGCGATCCATGCATTTTAATGAACGACTAAATGCAAAAATATACCGAATTCAAATTTCCACTTGTTGTCTACGACATTTATCCGCGTGATTTTTTCTCGAAACATCACACAATGTAAACGTGATATTAATAATTGACAATTTGCGGTAGAA